TATTAATATGAGATAATATACATGTATAACCGAACAACAACAAATATACATTGAAACACGTTCTTCTCTTTATGCGTTTATTCCGTTCGTGCTTGTATTTTCTAAATATTTATCTCAACCAGTCAATGGAGAAATTCCCGTTTGTTTTCCTAAAATTACCTCACGAAAAGAAACAGTTTGATGTTAATATTTTTTTTTTAGGTTGACAGTTCAGCACATACGAAGACTGGTGAATCAATATGAAATTTTAGGGATTGCAAAGTATGAATAATTTTCCTGTAATGTACGCGTTAAAAGAAGTATTTTGGTATATATTTCTACTGTTAAGCATTCAGGAGATACAGAGCGGGATAGACATACATTGGGTATTATACATAAGTATACTTTTATTTAGCTGGTGTTTTGTTAAATATGTTTAGTAATCCCATGTAATCCTTTCTAAAGTCCACATTGCTGTTGTTTTATGTATATATGTAGAATTGTTGTTTTTGTCTTTGTAACAAGACATCTAATGTCTGGTATAAGATATCGCTACAAAAAACGTAATCATACTGCTTATATGATGTAACTTATTAACATATAATTGGCATCCCAGTGGCACAGCGGTATATCTGAGGACTTACAAGGCTAAAACCCGGGTTTCGATACCCGTGGTGGAAAGAGCACATATAGCCCTTTGCGTAGCTTTGTCCATAACTACAAACAAGCAACCAACATGTAATTTATGAAGTAATTATTATGTGTGTATAAATATATATATATATATATATATATGTGTGTGTGTGTAATATCGTTCTGAATATAAAAATCCCATGTTTCTTAATAGGTCTTAACTGTACCGGTAAAATGCAATGATATACAAATAACTAAATTGAGTGGGAAAAATAGTTGAACGTGTCACACATATTTGATTTACTATTACCATGGATTCGCCAGTAAATGGATCGTCAGATACCTGGTAGAAATAAATGAAATACTTCTGAAACGTACAATTATCTCTTTGAATAAGTTGATGAATTTATGATACCCATTCCCTTTCTCAATTAATTGAACTAATTCATGAGAGCTAACCTTCTCTAAAACTTTCTAACTTATGATGATCAATGTTAACTAAATCTGTTAAACGACTCATGATAGTAAACTATTCTTTATTTGTTAAACATGTTTATAAGTTTTTCCTCATTATCTTCAGAAAATTCCTGACAATGATTCTACTTTGAAGTTGTAGAACTAATATTGTATTCATAGATCTATAAATTTGTTAAAAGAATATGGTTTTTATATTTTTTAGAGATTTTCATTAAAAGCAACAGGCCCTGTATTTATATATATATATGTTAAAGGAATCTGTGACACACATATATACAATCATTAAACAGTGTCGTAACATTGTTCACATACCTAAAATAATTTAGGTTACTATATGGTGAATTAAAACGGACTCAAAACCCTATAGCCCCTGAAATTCTTATTAAACTCATTCTTCAATCCTAATCATCTTGGTTTATGTCGAAATAGATAATAATTATGAATAGCGAGGTGAATATTTCTAAGCAATTCATAATAGCCGACGATCTATAATTGTGTAAAGATAATTCTAAATAGCTAACAGTTCTTCTTGATTTAAAAATAATCATGGATAGTGCGTCCCCTAGTTGTTAGAATGAAGACCTGAATATCAGAAGTTCCAGGGATCGAATCTGCAAAGTAAATCTGAATACTTTCACTAATTCCATTTGTAGGCGCATTATAAACGTGACATTCAATTTTGTCGCACCTAACTTCGTTCGTAAGTAGTCTAGGCAGATCATTTAATTCCTCTAAATACACAATACTGCCTTTACATTTTATAAATTTGTACATTAATATACAAAATATCACATCTAAAAAAAGAAAAAATGTTTCGTATGCGAAGCCAGGGTTTTCCTCTATTAAAGAAATATGAGATATTGTCGTTACCTGTTTACCTTAAAAACACCTTATTGCAGCACTTTCTTGTTAAGTATCGATTTTTGCTGAGAATTTCTATTAAAATGCTTAACAAGTATCACCTTAAATATGTTCTAGCGCTGAGAGTGTATTCAGAATACAAACAGCTGCGCAGTGGCTTTATTCTACATTTACGCAGAATAAAAAAACAGAAATTCCCGCTATCATTCAAGGCTAAACAACAGTAAACTCTGGAGTTCACCTACTCGTGGTAAACATAGCGCAGATAACCCATTGTGTAGTTTTAAGTTAAAACAAACCACTATCCTATATATCATGTATATTGTCAGTTCTCTGACATTAATTATTTACATTGTAGTGTAATACGGTCAATATCCAGCTTAGCTTTCGATGCCTTTGTTAATTTAATTATAGTATGGTGCATAATACAAGTTTGGACGCCACGAAAGTATTTTCTTTTCGACACTTTACTTTTAACTCCAATATTAGCTGATTTGTGTATGTGTGTGGCGATAAAGTCCCTAGCAGAGAGTTGCTTTACAAAACATAAGATCGTTGTAAGAATAAAGTAATAATGTTCAACTTTTACATTAAATAGCTTTCATTGGTTTCATTGTTTCTTAGAATGCTTTCAACCATTTTTAGATTTTCTGATTTCATAACATTGCAACGACTAAAATTGTTTTTGTTAATAACTTCTCTGGGAAGAATAGGGTAAATGTCGTTAACATAGCTTAAAAGTGTCGAACCCAAAAGATAAAATATGTTTGGAAAGGCCTAGCAAGTAATAAGATGGACTCAAGAAATGAGTCCCACTACATAATATCGTATTTTTGAATAATACAGTAGATATATATATACTATCTATGATGAAAGAGTTAGTACAAAGGATCACCCAAAAATGGTAGTAGAGTTCAAAAGACCCAGAAATTCGAGCGCCTTTGAATAGATGACTGTTTTTCTTCAGGAATAAAAGGACGAAGAATAATTACGAACTTTTCGAAAGCGTTAAAGTTTCTGGTTCGTTTGAATCTACTATACATATTACCTTTAATACCATACAGGTATATATATAACCGGTAATATTACTTACATGTATATATATTATTCATTACAATTAAACATATATGTTTCATGGAATTCTATGCTAGTATACGTAAAAGATATATTGCCTTCAGTGTTTTCACATAAAAATAATACTCATAGGGTGAAGTTAGGGCTCATGAAAGCACAGTTTTATTACAAAACTTTCAATGCTTTTTAGCTGGTCACGCACTGTGTGATCGCGAAGGAAATTTCTCAAATGTGAGGAAATGTGTTTCTTATAGTTCTAGGCAGATCAATACAAGATTTATTCAGTACAATAAATGCAGAAGCTTACAAGAAATGTAGCTTTTGATATATTCTTATACGTACAATTACATGTTTATCTATTTTTAATCATGAGAAATATTAATTTATCGAGTTATTATATGTATCCGCCTCGCTATATGTTTCTCTTGCTGCCTGTGTTTTGGTGTACAATTCAAGAAGATTATAAGAAGAATTGTGATATGAACCTTTTTACTGAAAGTGTCACTAATGAGATTTCATCCATTGATTTATGCTGCGTGCTGATAAAATGAAACAAAAAGAATTTACTTTTCTCTTCTCTCTAGTTGCCTAATTAATTTTATGCTGAAGTTGTTTGGTTGCCCAAAAGTAAACATTTATTGCTAATTTTCGAATTCAATTAATCTCTGACGATAATATAAAATTTAAATGATGTATTAGGTCTTTACATGAAACAAAGAAAAATCTTGTAATTTCCGTAAGTACATTTATAGTTACTGTAAAGTAAAATATTAAACTTCCATCTTATAATAATTGTTGTTGTTTGTTGTTAAGTATAATAATTGTTGTTGTTCGTTGTTAAGTATAATAATTGTTGTTGTTCGTTGTTAAGAATAAGAATTGTTGTTGTTTGTTGTTAAGTATAATAATTGTTGTTGTTAAGTATAATAATTGTTGTTGTTCGTTGTTAAGAATAAGAATTGTTGTTGTTTGTTGTTAAGTATAATAATTGTTGTTGTTCGTTGTTAAGTATAAGAATTTTTGTTGTTCGTTGTTAAGTATAATGTTTGTTGTTGTTCGTTGTTAAGAATAAGAATTGTTGTTGTTTGTTGTTAAGTATAATAATTGTTGTTGTTAAGTATAATAATTGTTGTTGTTCGTTGTTAAGAATAAGAATTGTTGTTGTTTGTTGTTAAGTATAATAATTGTTGTTGTTCGTTGTTAAGTATAAGAATTTTTGTTGTTCGTTGTTAAGTATAATGTTTGTTGTTGTTTGTTGTTAAGTATAATAATTGTTGTTGTTCGTTGTTAAGTATAATGTTTGTTGTTGTTTGTTGTTAAGTATAATAATTTTTGTTGTTCGTTGTTAAGTATAATGTTTGTTGTTAAGTATAATAATTGTTGTTGTTCGTTGTTAAGTATGAGAATTGTTGTTGTTTGTTATTAAGCACAAAGCTACACAAAGGGCTATCTGTGCTCTGCTCACCACGGTTATCGAATCCCGGTTTCTAACAGTATAAGTCCACAGACATATCGCTGCGCCACTGGGAGAGCCCATATGATAAGAAATAGACGGGATATATTTATTATTTTGAAAGGTTTCGTTCACGGATAAATAGGGATACTTGTTTTGGTTTCTTTTTCTTAGAATGTTTCGCAAAGCTACATTAGAGTTGTCCACCCATAGCCGTTTCTAGTTTTGAACTGATAGACTAGAAGGAAAGCAACGCCCTCCGCCAATTCTTGAGCTACTTTTTTATTCTTAATAGTAGGATTTTACCGTTATTATTATTGCACACCCACGGTTTCAAAGTTTGGAGCGCGTTTTTGAGGCAACAGGATGCGAATTAAAAACCTTTGGATTCCCATAGTCTGGACACGGGAAATACTAACCCACACCCGGCCGTTAAGAGAGAGAAAGACACATTTACATATGTAGATAGATGTGATTCAATGTAATTCTTTTTCGTAAACCTTCACTTTCCTTTTCTCTTCAGAAGACACCAACAAGGACATGGACTTCCAACTCCGTCTGCCCAGAATGAACTTGCAGAACAAGACCTTAAAAATAGCAAGTGTGACGGTGAGTGTAGAGAACTGATATCTGATGGAATAAGATCAAGCTCCATCAAAATATTGAAAAATAATATTGATAGAATAAGTACAGGCTTCATCAAAACATTGATAAATAATATTGATAGAATATGATCAGGCTTCATCAAAATATTGAAAAATAATATTGATAGAATATGATCAGGCTTCATCAAAATATTGAAAAATAATATCTCATCCTCTTTTTTTTTCTGGTTTTTAATTAGAACTGTTGGTTGTAACATTTCACTTAAGATGCATGAATTTCTTTTATAAGAGATTAATAGTTAAGAGGTGACATTAAATTCTGAAGGAAATAAAAGAGATATTTTTGTGTTATTTGTATTTATTTTTCACTTCCGAGAAATACCCCAGGTCACTAACGTTTTATAACTGATAATCAGTAAAATGACTTTGCTATTTGGTAAAGAAAGGCTTAGAATTCTTTTAATTAGGTCTTTTGCTTCTAAAATACATAAAAATACCTCTACTTAATTATTATTTCGGGCTCACTATTGCTTTTGAAAGTGTAGGAATATTTTTATTTCTAAGAGTGTTGACGATGTATTTATTTTTAAGTTTACAAAATCAGTGAAACATTTCTGTCACCATACCAATTAATACTTTGTTGAAAACATGCCCTATAAAAGTAAAGCAATCTTTCACATATAAATATTGTTAGTAACAACAATTTTTTTCAGTGTGAAGTACTAACTCTTCAGTTGTGGACATTTTTCATTTCTCCATTTAGAAATGGCCCGGCATGGCCAGGTGGTTAGGGCGCTCGACTCGTAATCTGCGGGTCGCGGGTTCGAATCCCCGTCACACCAAAC